TTACATGGGTGTTTAATGGCTTGTTCTTTAAGTATTGATTTAGCTAAAAGCATACAAATTTTTTTTCTCTCTTCTTTTTCTACTTCATAACATTCTGCATAATTAATATACTTTAAATAGAGAAGAAGACTCAAGAAGAAGAGAGGGTTGAGATATAAAAGAGTTTTGGGAATAAAAACATGAAAGATTTCTAGGGTTTGAGAGGCTGAAATTATGTGGAGAAAGCAAGAATCAAACACAGAGAGGGTATTTAGAAAATCAAATTTAGGGTTTTTGACAAAAGAGGTTGTGAGAAAGAGAATGAATGAAGGATTCAACATCCTTCCACATCCATTCATTGCAATATAAGTGGCATAACAATACAAGGATAATACTGAGTAGGAACCGTTTAATAATGAAAGAAACTAATATCACTTTAAAGCTACCTCTTATACAAATCATTAGTTCATGATATATATAGAAAGGTAGGTGCATGATACATATATATCATTAGTTCAAATCTGCCTCATAGCATTATATATATATAACGTTCTACTTATATTTGCCTCGTACCCTATTAACTACGAGTTTTTTTGAGCTCTATTCAGAATAGATTGGGGTAGATCACTGAGTAATTTTCTAAATGTCCATTTTTAGATATAACAACTTTTAATATATAAAGTTTTTATATATAAGATATGAATGACATGATTAAAATTTTTAAGAATTTTTTAAAAAATAAAAGATAAAAAAAAAGTCAAATCTAACACATTATATTTTTAAAGATATCAAATAAATATTATATCAAATTTTTTAATATATTGTAATCACCCTAATTAAGAAAATTTATCTGCTTCAGAATGTTCATTTCACTCAGAAATATAATAGACTCACTGGAATTAAGCGTAATTTAATCACTATAATTTCACTAACACACTAATGAGTTAAATCATCAGTTCTACTAAATTAAGCATTATAGACTGACAATTTTTAGCTTATAATATACTTATAAATTGACAAATTTTATATCATCTGTGAGTTTAGAACTCATAATCTTTAAATAAAAAACAAAAATCACTAACTATTAAACTATCATTTATTGGCAATCATAATCTATCAACATCATAACTTCCACTCTGCATTAAGCTTTAGAAAAGAGAGTAAAAGAACTTTTTAGGAGTCTTCCTCCAACATAATAATGTGGACACTCCTTGATACAACTACATCTAAATCATAACATACATAATGCAAGAATTTATGCAATTTGAACTATGGGAGAGAGTCTATCACATTCTCATAAAAAATACCCTTACGAGATATCCAAATTTAGCTCCTAAGAAAGTAAAGTGGTAACTTTCATATTTTAAGTTTTATGTTAGTTTTAATATTTGAAATTTAAATTTTCAATTGTAAAAAGTTTAATACGAGTCATCTATCTATCAAATTCTTTTATAAAATACAAATCGTATACATGCTTAAATTAACTAACGATTGAATCATAAATATTGAAACTGTTAAAAAATTATACGCATTAAATTTGAAAAATCTCTAATAACAAAGTATCAAACTGTAATTTTTTCGAGATATATTCATTAACCAAATAAGCTTTAGATCATGACATTGAACAATGATAAAATTTGAATTTGAATTTATCAAAGAAAGAACCAAAAAGTAATAGAAACAAAATAAACTTAAAAATTTTATGATAACCAATAGATGATTCAAGTAACATTTGAACTGCACAGACAGTATATATATATATATTTTTGTAAAATAATTTATTTTTGAATTTATCAAAGAAAATAAGAAATTTTGATGAAGTAATAAATATATATATAAAAAAAGAATAAATAATTGAATATATTAGAAATATAAGCATTTTAGGTAAATCTGCAAAATTCAACATAAGGTGCATGCTTATATATTTTGGCTAAATGATAAATATATAGTATGAATATTATATTTTAGTAAATAAAAAATATGAATAAATAAATAAATGTGTTGCATAGAACATGGTTGAAAATTATAATAAGAAGCATGAGTAAAAATTTATGTATGTTTTTCTTCCTTTCATATATACATTGGATTTACTTATGAAATTTGTCAAGAACCAAACTTATAATGGCAAGTTATCATGAACGTAAATCATGATTAAGTACAGAAACTGGAAGAGGGTAGCTTCCATTAGAAGCAATTAATTTTCTCTTAAATTTATTTTCTCAAACATATATGTATTTTAAATGGTAATTATAATATAATATTATATATGATTAGCATAGTTGATTTTTTTTTTTGTATTATAAATAAGAGTGAGTATAAAGTTAAGTTAAACATTCAAGAGAGAAAGTATTCAGTAATGGCTTCCCTCATTGTTCATGCTCAGGCTTCAGCTGTTGAAGATGCAGAAGCTCTTAGAAAAGCTTTTGCAGGTTATTCTCTTCATTTTAATTTCATATATATATATATATATATATATACATATATGTTGCTTCTTCTAATTATGGAAAGAAGCTTTGGCCTCATGTTCTTGGATGAATTCATGGTTTAAGTATTAACAAAAATGAAGTTCTTAAATACAACTGAAGTTATTTAAACAAACACAATATTAGAACTATACCCATGAATTTATAGATCAAATATATATTTCTTTTTAAAAAAATAGATATGTCCTTAATGATCATCTGTTTCTTATTTTTGAATTATTTATCTTAGACCCAATATATATACACAACATTTACTTATTACCAACCTTCTATTAACATCTCCCAGAAATTCACATATTGAATTTTTTTTTTCTTTTTCTGGTAGGATTGGGGACTAATGAGAAGGCTATAATTTCAATTCTTGGGCATAGAAATGCAGCTCAGAGGAAACAAATCAGGGTGGAATATGAGCTACTTTACAAAGAAGATTTTCTAAGCCGCCTTGAATCTGAGCTTACTAGGGATTTTAAGGTAATCTTGATTTTTCCTTTCTTTATATTTATATGTTTGTTTAACCTTTGAACTTTATATTACCCATCAATATAAACAGTTTACTATTTGCTGTCTGTGTGATTTCTTGATTTGTTTTAAGACATCTCTCATTATAGTTTGAGCTCATTTATATGAAACAAAAGCCTTGATGATGCTTGACAGAATTTGATTAATTATGTGAATATAGAGAGCTGTTTATCTTTGGATGCTGGAACCAGCAGATAGAGATGCAGTGTTTGTTCATGAGGCTATAAAGAAACATAAAATTGAGTACCAAGTGCTCATAGAAATTTCTTGCACCCGATCCCCGGAAGAGCTTTTTGCCATAAGACGTGCATATCAGGTTCGTTATAAACTTTCCTTGGAAGAAGATGTGGCATGTCATACCTCTGGAGATATTCGCAAGGCAAGTTACTTTAGGATATTAATTCCTTCTTTGCACTTTGATTTTGCTCAAGACATAATTAAGAATGGTCATGCACATGTTTGATTATTAGTTATTTTATTTTTTAAGAGAGTAGTTGTGTTAAATAATAATGGTGAATATTCATGATTTTTTTTTTTTTTTTGTAGTTGCTGATTGCGCTATTAACTACATTTAGATACAACGGTAATGAGATAAATGATAAACTGGCAAGTTCTGAAGCTGATATTCTTCGTGATGCTATTAAAGATAAGGTGTATAATCATGACGAAGTTGTTAGAATCATTAGTACTAGGAGCAAGGCGCAACTTTCGGCAACTTTCAATTGCCACAAGGAAAAGCAAGGTGCATTTATCTCTGAGGTATATAAAATAAAAGCATGTGTGAGTTACACCAAGTTGTTTATAAGCAACATCTACTGAGAAGATTAACTCATTCTTTTTTATTTTCCAGGAATTACTAGGTGATTTACATAACGATCTTGCAGTAATGTTGTATGGAGCAATTTTATGCCTTATTGACCCGAAAGAATACTTTGAGTGGGTAAGAGTTGTAGCTATCGAATTTATTCACACAAAAAAAAACAAATTATTAAGTACTAAGATACTATTGGTTTATGTGAATCAGGTGTTACATAAGTCGATGCAAGGGATTGGAACCGATGAGGATGCATTGACTCGTGTGATCATTACAAGAGCAGAAAAAGACTTGCTATATATCAAGGAGCTTTATCACAAGAAAAATGGCAAGTTACTTGCTCATGATGTGGCTGGGGACACTTCACGACACTACAAGCATTTTTTGCTCACTCTGTTGGGAGACGAGAAGTGAAATCTGTTTTTGATTTTGAGTTCTAAGTGTTAGTGATTTAGTTTGAATTTCTTTTCTATGGTTTTTTGTTTCTTATTATCTGGTCCTTAGATTTCTATTTCTTTGCTTTTTTCTATTCATGTGCCGTTATCTTTATTGGATGGGTGTTTATGTTTCTATTAACAATTGTTAGTGGCTTATTCAAGGTTTGCCTAACTAATTGGGGTCTTCTTTATTCTATTTTTTAATCGTTATTTTGATTAGTTTCTATTATTTTGCTACAATCCAAATTTGAAAGCCTCTTTGTTATTCTATAACAATTCAAAAAATTAGAGATTGAAATGTTATTTACACTCTTCGAAACTAATATAACAATTCAAAAATGATATAGATCATATGTATAATGCCAATTTCTAGAATGCAACAGCGTGGATGTTTCTTTCTGTAATAGGAAGAGAGCTTCTTGCTCTAAGCTTCTTTATCTACATAGGAAGAGAAAAGTTTTTTATCTCCGTACGTTAATTTAGAATAGTTTGAGTTATAGTTCGAAACATTTAAGAATATTGACAATGCAGTAATAAAACATAGATAAATTATAAATCATGTAATTAAACAATAGATTGCTCTAATATATGCAATTACCAGCATCCAAAATTCATTAAAAAACCTATAAACAATTCTCATAATCTCGATTTAATTGTATTTTTAAATTTATAAATAATTAACTAAATTTAATTTCATAATACATATTAGAGATAGGCCAAATATTCTAAAGCCATCTATCTCATATAAAAAAGATTATATAGAGAAAGTTATAATTACTTTAAATTGATCTTGAATCTTGTAATGGAAAGATATTATATTTTTTACCATTTGTCTTAAATCTTTTTATGGAAAAAAAAATTATAATTTCACTTTTTTCTTTTAAGTTCTATGATAAAAAGATACCACAATTTTGTCTTTAACCTTGTAATCACGTTAAGAAAAGGCATATGACAATCAAGTCTTAATATATACGACCAAATAACTTTAAAATATTTTTTAAAGAGAAAATATAAAAATACTCAACGTTAAAATTTCTTTAAAAGAAAAAAATATTATTAAATAATCATAAAATACCTTTAGGAAAAGGTGCAATAATAATGTCATCGAATCTTGTAAATTAAGAGAAAGCTCAAGATTAAAAGACTTTACAATCTTATCACAAGAATAATTAGTTTTGTAATCATAGTAGTTCAAGATCAAGCAACCTCATCGAGAGAATAATTGGTCTTTGAATCAGAGTAAAAGCATATTGAAGGTCAAGCAACTTTAAACTCTCTGTTGATGTGGCTTGATTTTGGATCTTATCACAAGAATAATTAGTTTTGGAATTATACTAAGAGAATACTCAAGATCAAGTAATCTCGTTAGGAGAATAATTGGTCTTCTAATAAGAGGAACAGGCTGAAGGTTAGCAATTTTAAACTCTCTGTTGATGTAACTTGATTTTATGATATATATAAGAA